TCATTCAGTAAACTGTCCCGTCGGGAAATATGTCTCTACATCACACAGTGGAGTCTCTCTGATTGGTTGACGCGTCGAGCTGCAAAAGTTCAGATTTTCTAACTTCAGCGATTTGCGCCTCAGCGCGTCGAACGCTCAGATCGTTCAAATTGTTCAAATCGCGCTGCTCTAATCGCGCTTGAGGCGCCGCTGAACTTCCCGACGTTGCTTGAAGCGCATCCTCCATAGACTTTGCATGTAAACCTGCGGCTCCTGACGCTAAAATCGCGTTCGGTGTGAACGCACCATTACAGGTTTCTCGGCTTCAACACACCTGGTTTGAATAAATGGATGGTTAAAAGGCGTCTGCAGACCTTAAAGAGATAAATTAATCGCTGAATCGGGCGTGTTGAAGCAGGGAAACAAGTGTGTTTGGTTGTTAGATGTGTTCATTAGTTAGTGATGGGTTTGCCAGATTAACTTGGTCATTCGGCAACTTCCTGAACTTGTCATCACAGTCTGATTCCCTGGCAGTCAAACTTTTCTCAATGTCTTGTGAAGTACCATTTTACAGCTGACTTTTTTTTACACCCTCCTCACTATAAACCTATTCACAAACACACACCTACACAGAGGCAGCAGGGAGTGCATCTGTTTTGGCATTGTATTTATATTATTTTTAATGTCTATTTGCTCAGGGAATATTTTGACAGCTTGTTTACGATGTGTTTTTCAGTGACCTACATCCCGTTCACTGTACAGGTACGGTCACACCAGGGAGCTGCACTGCAATCAGTCTTGTGTTGGTGGCTGCTGAAAAACAGTATGAGCAAGGGGTTAAGTGCCTTGCTCCAGGGCATCTCTGTAGTGGCTACTGAAGGAGAGAGGAGTGTCGGCCATTAACATTCCCAGCCCTGGTCTTTCAAGACAGCCATTGTAAACTCACATGCTGCTGTAACAGAAAATACACCAGTGTTCCCATGAAGTCATTTAGAGAGACATCTTCCTTCATTATTTGGTGAGGATCCAAGGTTTTCTTCCAAGTAACATCCAACAAAATGACAAGACAGAGTTTTTATTTTTATTTTGTTTAAGTTAGTTGTTTACGTGATGAAGCTCAGTTACTTGAGCTATGCTTTTGGCCATCACCCACAGCAGAAAAAAAGTGGAGTAATAATGTTTTTGTCCATTTTATCATGTTTGTGTCTGTACCGTTAGCAAAATATCTCTTAAATTAAAAGACAAATGTTATGTAAAAGTAATTAAATCTGATTCAGTTTTGGTCATAACACAATTCAAAATGGGCATTACAGATAATTTATCTTTACTAACACAAAATTGGTTTTAACTGACTCAAAATAACAGATAATGAGATAAATTTCATGTGGTAGTAGCTGAGAGTAACAATACAAACTCCAAGCATTAGCATTACAGGTGCAACGATARAGAAAATTCACGATCCGGTTTGATTCGATAATATGGTTCTACGTTTTTTTGACACAAAAAGAAATTTCCAGGCCATTCCTAACTTGTAACTTGTTGAAATTAATTATGAACATTTGTTTAACCTCAAAAGTACAATTTTTAAATTAAATGTTGCTGAAACAGCAAGTTTTTCCAATGGATCTACGCTCGATAATGCAGCTTAGGTCGAGTAGTCGAACACAGATCCACTGAGCTTCAACACAGAGCATCTTCAGAAG